ATAGATATTTCCCTTTGTGTTTTCCCCCCCACATTGACTCCCTCCACCCTGCACCTGCCCCTCCCAGGCCTTCTCCTCACTTTTGTCTGTGTCCCAGGGCTGTGCTTATAAGTTCCCTGGTTAATCTCTTATCCCACCCCAGATAAGAGTCAATTAAGCCTTTATTTACACACCTGGCACTACCAGAGCATTCTGGAACCAGGTTTGTTGTGGAGCACTTAGCCTTCAGGAACTCTGGGAGGAAAGTGTAGGGTGAAGGGGGCACCGACCCACTGAGAAGTTAAAAGCTTGCAGATCCCCAGAGCTCCTCCTGGTTCCAGACGCGTCCCTTGGGGGCTCCTCTGGAGACAAGAGAAAGAACCTGGGCAGACGCTGGTCGGGTTGTGAAGGATGCTAAGCCGCATCAGGTCCTCCAGAAACATGCTTGGGGCTCTCAGCCTGGGCATGGCTAGTCTGCGGCAGTGATTTGGGGTGTCTTGGTGGCCTGGTACATGCCACCCTATACTAAGAGGGCCGTATGAAATGGCGAGGGGGGGGGGGTTGTTAGGTGGTTGTCAGGGAATGTGGGGGTGGGAAACTGTCTTGTTTGTGGATCTCTGAGGCCACTGACCTTCCGGGGAAGTCTTCAGTGAATCTGGTACCCCAAGGCTATGTGCTTTATTCCATTTTCAAGGATTTGAGGGTTTTCAAGTTAGAAATTAAATCATACCGTGGACAACAGTGCAGCGGGCATCTGCTGAACCCTGCGTTTGACAGTCACCGAGTATCCTGCCTGAACCAATGTGCAGGGTGCCGCCAGCTCTTTCCCGCAGCCTTGAAATGGACTTGATTTCATTACGGACCCGCACTTCCTCCCCCCGCACAGACGCAGGCCGCTGAGGGAAGCACAGTCTCATTTCCTGTGGACGGGCTTGGTTTTCCCATCGTGGTTCTCATTTATATTTTGGGTTTACGAGTGCTTTAAAAATAAAAGTTCCTTCACTTTTCTGTTGCTAAAAAGAATTAAAAAAAAAAAAATCCTTGTGAAATGTAGGGTTTCACATAAACGTCTTAGTCCCCGAGATAACATGTTTTTAAATTTTCACCTGCAATTTCAGGTTCTCTTTTCGACACTCGTGTGTAATTTCCTGGGGTTTGTCTGGAGCCTGTATTTGTGGTCACTGGAGCCCGATGGATGGGGCGGGAGGGGAGCTAGTGAAGTTGCTCTCGCCGTGGCCATGCTCTCAGCTCTGGTCGGTAACTTGGGAGGAGAAATGAGAGTCCGTAGCTCTGCTGGGAGGCGGGCTCATTCCATCTACAGTCTAGGAACTAGGTGATTTAAAAAAAAACAAAAACATATTTTTATTGATTTCAAAGAGGGGGACACAGATAGAAACATCAATGATGAGAGAGGATCACTGATCAGCCGCCTCCTGCAACTCCCTACACTGGGGATCAAGCCTGCAACCCAAGCCTGTGCCCTGACCGGGAATTGAACCGTGACCTCTGCTGGTTCATAGATTGACGATCAGCCACTGAGCCATGCCAGCCAGGTGGAATTAGGTGATTAATCCGTGATCCCATCCCTTGGCAACTAGGAGCTAATTAAGCAGTTGGGGTTTGGGGTGTGTCTCCCCTCATCTCAGGCCACTTTGTGCTTCTATTCTTTGGCCCAAGGAGGCTTTCCAAACAGAAACATTTCTGGTTTTCAAATTGGGGTGCATGTTTTGTGTGCAGTTTAATGATGGCCTGACATTTCCTGGTTAAATGTGCGGTTCTGCATAACAAACATTTTGGAAAACAGACCTCGAGCTGAGTCCCTCAATTAGTGTTATTAGCAAGCAGAGGCCGAAGGGAGCTTGTAGTCTGGTTGGACTGTAGCAAAGATCTGTGATGGGAAATGCAGCTTCTCCGGAGAGTTAATGTGAAAATAAACAACGCGATGGCCTTGTTTTCGGTTGTCTGTCTCTCGCTTTGTCCTGCAGCTCGCCGCCGCAGACGGGCAGGGTCTGTCCTCATCTGTCAGTGTCAGTGGGTAATTGCATTCCTTGGGATCCAGAGTCTTGTCCTTGTCATCGGGAGGTGGTGGGGGCGGAGGGTCAGAGGTGGCCCTGGAAGGGGAGGCTGGGAAAAGGTTTAAAGATGAGCTTTTATTTGATACCAGCCTTGAATCCTTGTAGCTGCATCTTTTGGAAAAAAAAAAAAAATAGGGAGAGACTTGGGGACGTCAGCGGGCCAGTGCCTACTCCGCATTCCATCAAGGGTCCAGTCTGCATGTCCTCTAGGGAGGGTCCCATCTGTTCAGAGACCGACTGTGCTGTGATGCAGGGGTGCACCGAGGGACCCCTAGCCGCCAGGGGTGGGACCAGCAGGTCGGGACAGCCTCAGAACCTGGGCTCCTGTGGCTGACATGTGGAGGTGGCTCCCAGCCTCTCGCCCTGGAGGCTGCCTTGCCCATTGCCCTCCCATCCGCAACCCCAGCATGGTGCCTGGCCCTGGTCCTTGGCAGCCGGGAGCCGGGTTGGCACAGGTGCAGGGGTGCCCTGGCCTCTGCACATGTCTGAGGCTGTAAACGAGGTGGATGCAGACGGCAGCAAACGGGGAGGCGTGTTGGTTGTGGTAAACATCTCTTGGTGGGGCGTGCTTAAAAAGTGGTGCATCAATGAATTGAGCTCATTTGAATTCCCAGTTACCTTCTTTGTTTAATTACTAAGGTCTGTACTAAAAACTATATTATTTAATTTTTTTTTTCATGGCAGAGTATAAAATCTGAAAGGTACCCAAACATGACAATGAAGAGAAAGTCTCTTCACTCCCCTTGTCCCTAAGCCATCTGGTTCCCTAACTCTTAGTCACCAGCTGTTGAGTTTTTAATCTGAGCTGAAATGTTCTCAGCCTGGACAAGCTTACGTCTGTATTTTACACATGATGTGTGCATACACTCTCACACACACACATTTCTGTGTGTTGAGGCTTTCAGCTTCTTCTCAGCTGCCTAGTATTCTACTATATGGGTACTAGAAGCCAGGTGCACGAATTTGTGCATGGGTGGGGTCCTTTGGCCTGGCTGGTGATTGGGCCGATCAGCCAGCCAGAGGGAGGGACTGCAGGAGGTTGGCTGGCATTGGGAAGTTGGCTGTGGGAGTGTACTGACCACTAGGGGGAAGCTTCTGCATTGAACATCTTCCACCTGGTGGTCAGTGTGTGTCATAGCAACCAGCATGCATATGCATATGTGTGTGTGTGTGTGTGTGTGTGTGTGTGTGTGTGTGTGTGTGTATATATATATGCCAACATTTATGTAACCAATGTTGGGAATGTTACACACCTTCTGGGGCACCTTGGTGCCCGAATTTCATATTGGGGAGCCCATTGGAGTCACCCCACAGATCCTGTAACACCACGTCCCCATGTTCCCGAGAGAGCAGCTCATGACAGACAATCAGTGTTTTCAGTGTAATCAGCGAGGTTCACTAGTAAGGAGGATGTTGGTTACCATTTGCCAAGCACTGGCTGGCCGGGCCCCTGCTGGCACCACCCATGTTCATCCACTTGCAGGTGGTATCTTATCGGTGGCACTTTAGGGTGGTGCCTGGCGGCCCGCAGAGGGGTGGCCAGGTGCACAACTTCCTATGCACCCGTGAGCAGCCCCCCGCGTGTTCACCTCCCGGGACAGAAGCGGCCCACATTTTCACGTTCACCAACATCTTGCCTTTAGAGCTGCAGGGGCACCTCTGCCCACCTGCCCTGCCAGCTGGCCTGGCGCATGGCTCCCGAGAGCCTAGCATGTGGTACTGAGCACTGATCTCCACTCCTTTCGGCTAAGGTTGCAGGTTCATTGGTTGTCTCGCATCTTCAGCTGCTTTGTGCATTGGTGGGGTCCCTTGGCCTGGCTGGTGATTGGGCCTCCCTGTGCCTCCTGACCCACCGGCCATCCTTCCCTCCTTAGCTGAGCGCCGGCCGCACTTCCTCCCCTCTTTGCAGGGCCAGGTGTCAGCTCTGTGCATGGCCGCCCACCCATTCCGTGTCCCCATGGGTTGTGTTCACCCTGCTTTCTCTGATTGCGCTTCCTAGCCTTTCTCGAAGACCCCAGTGGCATAGCTCTGCCATTGGCTTCCCCTCCGCAACCGTTTCCTTGGAGCCTCGCCCATCCCTCTGAAATGGGGCGTGTCTTGACTCAGGCATTGGGTGAGCCCTGCCTTTGTGGAGGTAACACAGAGTGATGAGATTCGCATAGAAAGCAAATCCCCTTTGGAAGGAGAGGGCAGGAGCTGCCGCCACGCTCTGCTCCTGGCCCATAGCGTGTGGGTGTGCCATGGCTCGTGTGGGGTGTGGGGGATCAGGTCATTGGGGTCATCTGTGTTGCGTGTGGGGGTGAGAGGAAGAGATGGCAGGCAAGGAAGGCCACCCCGAGGGTGCTAAGAGTGCTAATGGCTGTTTTGAGAACCCACGCTGGCTGGGGTCTCGTCTTTCTGACACCCTCAGGTATGTTCCTGAGAAACAGGACTTCAGCAGAGTCTCCTACACTATGAAATGTTACATCGTTAGCATCTGTCGGCATCCTCTATAACATGGTTTTGGGGATTTCAGATAAGGGACTGGAGTAAAAACCTAAAGGCCCAAAGTTGGCTGACTGGCTACGGGGTCCGTTCCAGTCAGCCAGGTGCCTCCTGTGTCTCCACCCCGTGAATGCGCACAACCAGGATGTCCTGGGCGCTCCGGAGGGGCCTGTGGGCTGGGCAGGAGCCCGTGAGGTGGGGGGAGTGGAAGCCACAGAGCCCTGGAGTCACGGGCGGAGTGGGCCTGTGGTTTAGGGGGGCAGAGCGCAGGCTTGGATTCGGAGCTGGTGTGTGGACTTGGGCTGGTCACCGTCTCGAGCGGAGGTGCCGTCAGGCGCTCTGTCTGCACCATCAGGCAATCTGTCTGCACCGCCATGTCCTGGTCTGAAACCTGGCGCGTTGGGGCATCCAGCCTTGCACTTCAGTGTCCTGTGTCTCATCCCGTCATCTCCTGTTTTGCAGATGCCTTTGTGAACAGCCAGGAATGGACGCTGAGCCGATCGGTCCCGGAGCTCAAAGTGGTGAGTGCTCCCCTGGCCTTGGCGGTGTCCGTGCTCACCGAGGAGGGGCTCTGTGGCAGGCGGGCCCCGGGTGGAGCTTGCCTCCGGGTGTGTCCCTAGAAGGGCCAGGTTTAGCTGGCGGTTTGGGGCTGAGCGCTGTGAAGCAGAGATGGACAGCCAGCCAGAGTGGCCTGTGTGCCCAGGCAGGTCCCTCCATCATCCGCTCTGGTTTGTGTGTTAATGTCTCTCTCTCTCTCTCTCTCTGGTTTGTGTATTAATGTGTCTCTCTCTCTCTCTCTCTCTCTCTCTCTCTCTCTCACACACACACACACACACACACACACACACACACACGGCTTTATTTATCCTTTGTTGGATGTTTATCCTTTGTTGGATGTCATGGAAAATTTCTAGAACGATTCATGAGGCTTTGCAATTCATTATTTAAAAATGTGGCTGTTACTACATTACAAAGTAGTGGCATAACATTAAAAGAAGAATTTTGTTTTTAGTACAAACTTCATTCTGTCAATGATATTGTTAAAGCTTACAGTTGGCTTATGAAACTGACCTGGGTCTCTTGCAGCCACACCTTTGAGCCAGAGCCCTCTCCCGGCTTCCACTTAAGATGAAGGAAGGGACAGACTTTATCCTGAAGTGTGATGTTCTTTGTTATGAAATAACTGGCTTTGGGGGGATGTACCTGTGTGTGTGTGTGTAGTTATATGTATATATGTTTGTATGTATGCATATTTATGTGTGTATAAGTGTGCACACTTACATATGTATTTATATGTATGGTATGTGTATGTGTATCTATGTATGTGTGTATATATGTTCCTATATTGCCCTGGCCGGCGTGGTTCAGAGGTTAGAGTGTCAGCTGCCCACCAGAGGGTCACAGGTTCGATTCCAATCAAGGGCATGTACCTGGGTTGCAGATTTGATCCCCTACCCCAGTCAGGGCATGTGAGGAAGTCAACCAATCTATGTATCTCTCATGTTGATGTTTTTCTTTCTTTCTCCCTGCCACTCGCTCTAAAAATCAATGGGAAAAAAATATCCTCAGGTAATGATTAACAAAATATATATGGGTGTATATACGTGCATGTGCATATGTGTGTATGCCTATATATGTATTTATATATATACAGGGTGTCCCAAAATGTATGCACATTTTGAGTTATATAAAGGCAGTCATTATTAAAAATACATTTAATTTCAAAATGTAATAGAAATCAGCTATTAAAGTGTGAATACATTTTTTGGGACAGCCTGTATATGTATATTCATATGTGTATAAGTGTGTTTATATGCCTGGCATGCATATATATACACATGTGTGTACACGTGTGTCCTTGTGTATGTGTATGGGTTTCTGTCTGTCCCTATGTGTGTGTGTGTGTGTGTGTGTGTGTGTGTGTGTGTACACACATACACATATACTTCTGCAGTGATGGGTTCTGACCATTATGTGGGAGCAGATAAGCCCTTCCCATTCAGCACACACTGATGAAGCCTGCCTCAGTTCTCCCAGGTCCCCATTTGTTAGTAGCTCCAGGCTGTCTGCCCAGTGACCCCGAAGGCCTGGGACACCTTCCACTGGTTGGACATGCGGGGGTGCAGGACCCTTGAGTTTCTCACTTCTGCGATGAGATTGCACAATACGGGACACCCAGATTGTGAAGAGAGTGTATATGTCTTTCATCAGCAGGAAAAGCAGGAGGACGTGTGGGGGGGCCCCTGAAATTGGGAGGCAGGGTCACCATGTCCCCGTCCCTGCTGCCCTCGCCGTATGTCCGTGCTTTGCCGCGCTCTCGCACCAGAGCTCGACCTTCTCCGGGCACCTGCCAGCGGTGTCTCCCCTTGTGGGAGACAAAGGGTCTGTCCGTTGTGTCCATTTTGGTAGCACGAGTTCCACAGGTCTGACCTGGGAACAGCCCCTCCTGCTGCCTGTGTTCTGAGACCCCTGGACCTGGCAGGGTCAGGAAACACCTGGCAGTCCAATGCCATACAATCGGTGTCATGGTCACCAGGAGCTTTTCAGGATGGTTGGGCGGTTTCCCGAGCTCCCTCAGGAAACCACGTGCTGTGTAGGTCCTGCCACGGGAGTGAGACGGCGGAGTGGGGTCTCGATGACAACGTGGCCGCACTACAGAGCCCTTCCTTGTGCAGGCATGTTGTGCTTCACGTACCGTCTCATTTAACCCTGATTATCTCCCCCCTCGCCCCCCCGCCCCCTCCACAAATGGGGAGGCTGAGGCTCGAAGGAGCAGTTAGTAAGGGTGGAGCTGGGATGTGAGCCAGGAGCTGTGCTTGTCTGTCAGCCCTGCCAGGGGGACTGCTGCCCCGCGGACACATTCTGTCCTCACTGTCCAGGGCGGCAGCGCTGGCCCCTGGCCCCTAGTGGCTGTGGAGCACTTGAAGTGTGGCTCCTGCAACTGAGGGGTTGACTTTGAAGATTTTTTGTGTTTAAATTGGAATAATTACAGACTGACTGTACTCGCCAAGTGTCGAACCCTCTGATGTAGCCCTGGTTTTGAGAGTTGAAGGTGTCCAGGATTCCGCCAGCTCATACTGAGGCTGCTTACTACCACAGATGTGTTTGCTTCCAGTTGAACAGCACGCAAATGTCTGAAATAAATGGCCAGGGGTGCAGGAGGCATTGCATCAAGGGGAGCATGGACTCCTGTTCTCCACAAATAACTACCAAGGGTTTGTTTCAGTTCTCTGAAGGAAATGTGAGTGGTTCTGCAGGGCCTTAGGGCAGATTCTTTTTCTCCTGCCCCTGACCCCTGTGGAAGGCTGGCTCTGCTCCTGGCGGGCGCCCCCTGGTGGAGGCTGCAGGCAGTTCGTCTTCTCAGGCCTCCTGGGCAGATCCCTTCTGTGCTAAGGAGTTTCAGCATCTACAGAAAGTGCTCCTTTGTTCGGGGCAGCCTCTGTGCACCCACAGGGCTGCGATTGTCTCCTGCCTGGGCCCACACCCCAAGACAGGTGGCCCCTTAGGTCAGCGCCTTCGGAACCCCTGACTCTGTTGCACAAACAGAACGAAATGACACAATAGCAAGTCTCAGATGGACTCTTTATGTAACATTTTGCAATCCATCTTCCGGAGTCTGTCAGAGAAAACAGCTCAGTGTTTGCTCCGTTTTCACGAGTGGTAGTACCATGCTGTGTCCTGAGGTTGGGTTGGGGGTTAGATAGTCAATGACATTGCACCAGAGGGTCCCTGCATGCCAGGCGCAGGCTTGGTGCTCTTGTCCAGGCGGAAAGAGAGAAGCCAGCATGGAGATCTTGCCTATAGAGGGGGCATGTTCATCAGCCTCTAGTCCTGGCTGGTTTCTGTGTTTTCATTGAATTCCAAGCTGGGGTTTTTACTAAGAGCCTAGATTTCCTTTCAGCAAACCTCGTGTGCTGCAGGTGGGGGGTGGAGTTTGGGAGGCAGGGAAGTCGGTGTGGGAGACGATGCTCTCTTTCCCTCGTGCACGGCGATGTGGAGAGTGGCATCCTGAGGGCTCGTGGTCAACTCGGCCACCCCAGGTCAGCAGGTCTGTCATGGCCAGGACACTGTCCCCCAAGGAACCTGCATCCCGGGGGCTACCTGCACACCACACACACACATACACACACACACACCCGTTGCACTTGCAGCGGTTCCCGGGCCCAGGGCAGCTCTGCCCTGAGAAAGCCTTGTCCTTCATCCTTCTTTTCCTCCCCACGGTTGGCTGCTGGTTCCTGCAGTGTTTCAGGTTAGGGTAACGCCTGGGTGGCGACTGTAGGTCTATGAGATGGCCACTCACACCCACTAACATGGCCACTAACACCTCCCACGCCTCCTGGACTGACCGATTGGTTCCTCCCGGTGGGCCAGCCAGTTCTTGGTATGTCGTGGGCACGTAGGAAGGAAGGACCGTTCCCACGTGCAGAAAGCACCGGCTTACACAGCGTTTGATTCTGAGCGTTTTCCTCCTTGGGAAAGAGGCACTCTAATCTTAATTAAAAATTTAATTCTGCGGCATGCTGTTCTAAATTTTCTCAGCGTGAAGCTGACAAACAGCAGGTGCCCTTGAGCAAAAGAATAATTGATGGGTAGAAATTCTCGGATTATAGAGGCCTCAGGTGAAAGGAAGACGTAAGAAAGCAGGAAGGAGACAGCTTTATTTAGGCTCTTCTGCGAAGCCTGGCTTTCAGCCACAGAAAGAGGAGCTCATTTGTGCTCACTAGTGTTGGGCCACTCATTTACTCGTTCATTCATTTATTCACTCATTCAGCCAGTGTTGCTGGGAGGCAGAGGACAGGGACAAACGAGACATGGTCCTGCCCTGAGGGAGTGGTCAGTCCTGGGGAGTCAGACCTCATGCTGGGGTTGAGGAGCTGGGGAGGGAAAGAGGGGAGTCCCACAGAGCATGGGAGGAGGCACCGAGGAGCATGGGGAGCCCTGCTCCCTGAGGCTGCGGCTTTAGGAAGGCTTCCCAGAAGGGGTGACATCGGAGCAGCTTGCTGGCGGAGCAGGAGGACTATTTCGGGCAGCTGTGGATGTGGGAAGGTCTGGGTGTCTGGGGGTGCAGCTTGGGAGCTGGGGAAGGTGAGAGCTAAAGGGCTGTAACTGGGGAGTGCAGGATGGGTAACAGGAAACAGAAAGGCCAGATTTTAACTTCTTTTCCACAGTTTCATGCCAAGTGTGTTTCCTCCTGTGCGTGTTCTAGTTATTGGCTTCATCATCTGTTCTCTTCACCAGCCATTCTCTTTTCCTTCTATCTGTCCTTCCTTTCTTTCATCCACCTATCCATCCACCCATCCAACTGTCCTACCCTCCCTCTCTCCCTCCCTCCTTCCTTCCTTCCATCCATCCCTCCATTCACTTATCCATTTCTCCTTCCCTTCATCCATCCATCCCTCCCTCCCTTCCATCCATGTCTTCATCTATCCCTCCATCCATCTTTTTATCCCTTTCTTCCTCCCTCCATCCCTCTCTCCATTTCTCCTCCATCCATCCCATATTTACCAGGCACTTTGTTGGGGCCAGAAACTGGTGAGTGGAGGGATGTGGAGTTGGGGAGTTAATGTCCTTGCCAGTATCCAGAGACATAGTTCTTGGTCTTCGGGAACCTGGGTGTGGTGGGGGACCGAGCCACGGACACTCCCCAGCAGTCACGCTGTGCAGAGGAGGAGCAGGAAGACCATCCCAAACTGGTCAGGTGAAGAGGCGGTAGGGCCACGTGTCTGCTGCAGGCCTGTGTGTCTGCAGACGGGCATGCAAGCTTCCAGAGGGAGACTGTTTGCTGCTCCTGGAGCGTGGGCTCTGGCCTGCAGGCAGTGGGCAGGCGGGTCCCAGGCTTGTGAAGTGAGTGAGAACGCCTGGGCTGCAGCCACACCCGTTCCAGGGAAGCAGGCTTGCTCTTGTCCTCTGCCTGGTACCAGCCTCGTCCCTCCGCCCCCCACCCCGGCCCCCACATCGTCAATAACCCCTGTGGCTCATTTCACTTAGTCGGACCCAGCTCCAAACTCCTACCCCCAAATCAGGTGCAGGTAACCGTGCACTTCCTTGGTGACGGAATGCACCAGAATGTCCTCCTCATCCCCAGTGCTCTGCACGCCACCATGCTCCACAGCATTCCTACTCAGCGCTCCTCCCTCGGGATGCGGAGGGTTCACAGTTCACAGTTCAAAGTGCACAGCGCCCTGACTCACACCCTTTTCTGGGGGACCCACCGCACATGGTGTGCAGGAGAGCATCTCAGCCGCAGGTGTGGGGTGGTGTCCACGCTCCTAGGGCTGGCAAGGCGGTGAGAGGGGTCCCTCTCCTCCAGCAGGAAGGTCCCTGAGCCCATCTCTGCCCTTTGCAGCCTGTGCGCGGTTGTGATTGTGTGTAACCGCACTGCACCTTTCAACTCCCTCCGCTTGTACCGTGTTTCCTTGAAAATAAGACATCCTCCGAAAATAAGACCTAGCTCATGGAAAGATAAGACATCCCCTGAAAACAAGACCTAGTGCAACTTTGGGAGAAAAAATTAATATAAGACACTGTCTTATTTTTGGGGAAACGGGAGATTGCCGAACAGACTGACGCCCTGGTCCTTAACCAACGTCCGTTGCTTTGTTTCAGGGAATCGTGGGCAATCTGGCCAGCGGCAAGTCGGCCCTGGTGCACCGCTACCTGACTGGCACCTACGTCCAGGAGGAGTCTCCCGAAGGTACGCGACCTGGCCGGCAGGCTCCGGCTCAGGCAGGCTCAGCTTGTCAGTGTTCCGTAGCAGACCCTAAATCATACCCTGAATCCTTACTTGGATGTGTCACTCGTCCAGAAAGTCATAGAGCACCAAGCCATAGACGTCCTTAGGTATATTGTGTCCTCTCCAGTATTGGTCGCTGACCCACTGTAGTCTCTGTGGCATTCGGAGCAAGAGTAGAACCATGAAATACTCTTGAATTGATTTCTTCCCTAATAGTCCTGTCCTTTCCAAACATCAGTCCAGCGTCACTCCCTTAAATACTGCTCGGCCGTCTCTCTGACCGGGATGCTGGGTTTATCCATACTGTGCACATCCTGTGATGTAGTCATAGATATGAGGCATTCAGATGCCACCACCACCTGTTGGAGTATGTTCCCCCTTTATAGCGTGTGATAAACATGTAATGGTCATTTTAAATGAAAATAAGATGTTTCGTTCGCCATTAGGCTTTTCCTTCTTCCGTTAAAGCATATCCATATTATTTTATGTTCTGCTGTAAATAAAATGCTGTTAGGAACCCAGCAGCCCCTGTGTCCCTACGCCAAGCCTAGCCCTCAGGCAGTTTTTTTTAAATTATATTTTCTCTCCGTATAACCTTGTCAAATCCAACTCTGAGACACTGAATTTCTGGTTCCTTCTTTTTCTTACTGGCTGTTCCATTCTTTGCAGATATGGATGCAGGTAACTATGCCCTTTCTTCATGGTAGCGCTTGTCTTGTTTGGAGAGAGGAGAGGCGGCTGTGTCCTGTAGCGTTCCCTCCCCTCCTTGTCCTGTGCTCCATCCCGTTGCCTTTGATTTTGCCTTTTTTTTTTTTTTAAGTTGACCATTTCACCTGTCGCGTCCCTTAGATGTGTTGTTAGCAGTAGTCTAGCTTCCTGTGTTCCCTGTAACACCTGTTTAGTGTCTAACTCCTGTCCTGGGGCCTGTGGAACCTTCGGAGAGCGCGGAGGGGCGGATTCTGTGGCCACCTGTGCCCGGGGCTCTGCCCTTCATTTGCAGAATTTTACAAACACAAGAATGCCCCCCGAGGTGGTCCCCAGGGAGAGCCAGCTTTTTGCTTGAATCAGTCGGAGAGGATGATTGAGAAAGGCCGGGGATGAACTCGGAGGCTTGAGGGTGGGAATCCGTGCACGGACCCGCGGCCCCTGGTGGACCGTGTGTGCAGGTGCATGGCTGCGAGAGCTCAGGGAGGCTTTCTGACGCCTGGGGTCTGCACCTGTCCGGCTCCTGTGTTTGTTCCTTTGTGTCTGAGTGTGGCTTTGGTTTTTTTAGACTGAGCTTCACTGGTTCCTCAGGTGTAGCTACTGTATAGGTTGGGGACCCCAGCTGCTCAGGGTCTGGGTCACCTGATAGCAGGCGTAATGATCACCTCTCCACGTAAAGCTGCCTGCACCGCCCACCACAGCCCCCGGGCACTTGGGTGCGAGCCCTGCCCCTGGGGGTGCTCTCACTGCTCTCATTAGGCGCTGGTGTCTGCTTGGCTGGCACCGTGGCTGGCACTGGAGTCTCCGGCCCTCTCACTCAGGGACGCCTCTCCCTCCCCGTGTTGTCTTTGCTGTGGCTGCGCTCTTGTCCCTGTGCACGGTCACAGTTTGTTCTGTCACATTTGGGCCTGACTGTGATGTCTTTGCAACTGCCTTGTGTTTTTATTAGCATGAAGGCATTTCTCTTGAATGTCCATTCGTTAAAAGTAAAAATTGTACCCAAACCATGGCCCCTAATAGCCCAAATTCTTTTTTTTTTTTTTTTTTTTTTTTTTAAGTAACATGTTTTACTCTACTGGATTTCATGGTATCACATGAAGTTTTATAAACAGATTTCAGAGGGGGGAGCTGAGTGCGTTTATACACGCAAGGACATTCCTTCCTCAGCTGCTCGGTGGAAACATCTCTTCCCTCTGGCCCGCACCCGAGGCCCCTGCATCAGGAGGAGGACGGCCCCCCATCTTCTCCCTCCACCTCAGGAGCTCACCCAGCACCAGGCCACCGGGCCTCTCACTGACTGACCCCAGGCCAAGAATGTGGGGTTGCCTGGAGCTCGGAGCAGCACCCACCCAGGTGGACGTGCATCAGGGCCTATGGGGGCTGTCTTGTGCTGGAAGCCCCTTAGCCCCTGAACCCCTGTGTCTCAGAGCCTGGCCACCCGCACCTGCCTGAACCAGGCCAGTGGCCGTGTCTGCGGAGATCAGGAAACACTCCCACAGCCTGTCCGTGGGCCCCCGGTGGGACTCGCAATGGCAGCAGGAAGGGACCATGGCTGTTTCAGGAAGAAAATGAATGAGAAAAGCCTTAGAGGCTCTCACCATGGAAGCTCTCTTTCCCTGCCAGGGAGCCTGTAACTGCCCCGGGGTTGCCATTCTGGTTGAGGGCATTCCTGTGGCCCAGTGCCCTTGCGTGCTCTACTGGGAAGCTGCATGCGGAATGTTCTGGAATGGAATGGGCTGAGTCTGCACAGGTTAATGGAGAGCATTGGAGCCGTGGCACCCTCTTTCCCCCCTCCCTCTGACCTCCTCCCCTCCGAGGGTACAGGAGGTAGAAGCCGATTGTGGCTCAGCCCCAGCCGTGAGCCGGCAGGTCTGCCTGTGGAGGCCAAGGGTCAGGTTAGACCACAGCTGATGGTGTGTTGCCAGCACCAGGCCAAGGGGCCTGGGCTTGGAGCTGGGAGACCTTTCCATTTCCTGGTGTTTTACTACCTCCTAACAGATGCTCCTCCCTCTTCTAACTGCAGGAGCGGTCACCTGCCTCCGGCCACACGTAGGCAGCGACTCCAAATGAAAAACGTGTTGTGCTGGTGGTGGGACTGTGTGACCTGCCCGTCCGCACAGCTCTTCGGAGCTCCCTGCGGCTTCTCACGTCTGCACTGGGCCTTCTGATTGCATTAACGTGTAAATGCCCTAGCGTTCCTCTGACCCGAACCAGGCCCTGTAGATTGCTGGGAGGGGCGGTGAGGGCCTCCCTGTTTCCGTGTTCTCTCTCGTGACCGCCCACCTCCGCCGGAGCACACACACACTCGCATCGGATAGAGTTTAGCGGGATCTTGGGGGATAACATTTGCTGTGTTTTAGTTGTGTGATTTTGGTTGGTATTTTAGTCCCGTGGCAAAGAGAGCTCATTCACACAATTCGGGTCATCTTAAAGATACAATTTAAATGACAACAGGTTTAAAAGTTAAGTGTGTTTTTTTTAACTAGTGAATTAACAAGGCAAAAGTAGGTAACTCAGTAGGGAGCTGTTGACTCCATGAATGTAATCCAAAGAGTAAAGTTTTTGTATAGGCAAGTATATTTTTAATTGTGTGTGTGTGTATTGTGTGTGTGTGTGTGTGTGTGTGTGTGTGTGTGTGTGTGAGAGAGAGAGAGAGAGAGAGAGAGAGAGAGAGAGGTGTGTGCGGATGGAGTCCTGGAGCTGCCACAACAAATGACCACAAACCAGCGGCTTAAAACAGCAGGAAGTGTTCCCTCACGGCGGCGGGGCCCGGGGTCTCCGTGGAGGTGGACGGGGTTGGTCCTCCCAGGCTCTGAGGGAGAATCCGTCCTGTGTCTTTCTCCTCGCTTCCCGGGTGCCAGCATCTCTGGGTGCCCTTGGTGTGTACGCACCTCACTCCAGCCTCGGCCTCAGTCACCAAGGGGCCTTGTGCCTGTGTCCAAATGTCCCCCTTCTCACCAGGACACCAGCCCTGGAGGTAGGGCCACTCTCCTCGAATAGGACATCATCTTAACTTGATCACATCTGCGGGCCCTGTTTCTAAATAAGGTTACATCAGGGGTTTGGACCGGAACGTAACTTTTTTGTGATAAAATTCAACCCGCACTGCGCGCTCACCATACGCGTGCGGAGTTCGGACAAGCTGCTCTCACAGCTGTGGCGTTGCCCCGTTACCTCTCGGTGGCCAGGCCTTGCTGCCATCTCACTGCTGGTCTCCTGAAGGTCACACGCACTCGGTTCCTTTACATGTGACCTTCACACCTCTGATGGGATTTCACAGCTGCCACTCACTCCTCGGCCATTAGTGCCCTATTCTTGGCTGCTAATTAGAATTGTGAGCGTCGTTTGGCGTGTAATCCTAGTTTCTACCTCACGTGCTTAATATTCATCCTGTTCCAGCCACCCCCCTGTTCCAGCCACTCAGCTTCTAACTCTCCGCCTTGAAAGAGGAACGGAAGGCAGGCCGTTCAGTGCTGTGCGGGGAATTTGAACCAGGAACCCCCTGAGACACTTCCCCCGCGGCAGGCCAGGAGGCTGTGTCCCTGTCCCAGGAACATCTCTCTGTAGATCCTCTTCTGGCAGAGCCTCTTGTGTGGGAGGACTTAGGGCCCAGGAGGCGGAGCCCCAGCCGCTGCCTCCCTGTGAGTGGGGAAGGGGGAGGGCCCACTTGCTCCCTGGTGGGTTGAGCAGAAGGTTTAAGGTTGGTAATGACAAACTTAAGGATGTACGTAGAGCTTCCTTCCTGTGGTTATAGAGTTAACTGCTGTCGGCCACTTTTGCAAGGAGCCCTGGGCTATGAAGTGGGTAAAGTGCCAGGATGAAGTCAGACTGGTGGAGAAACATCTTCATTCGGTTCTGGAGCAAACCCTCCCCAGGTGTGGGCGTGGTGGGCGAGGCCCAGAGCGAGGTCAGCGGGGTCTCTGCTGCGGCTGCGGCCACAGGAAGGCTTTGCCGAGGGGCTTTCACCAGGTCTGACCGAGGAGCAGTCGTCCCTGACGTTCCCGGCCCTGTGAGCTGGACCCAGCAGGATTCCTTCCGCAGTGAATGGCTCTTCGGCTTCTCGTAGGCTCTTAACCAGCTCACATTTGTGAGCAAAAACCTCTCTCCTAGGCCCTGGCAACCCGAAGCTGCCTAGGCCCGAGGCCAGCAGGTTCCTGGCTGAGAGCCTGGGAGCGGGGGACGTGCCAGCGTGAAGGCTGCGGTGGCACCTCCTCTCACCTCCAGGAGGCGGTCCTTCATCCCACGGTGACCTGTGA